TACAATATATAATATTCCATAAAATATAAAGCACTTACTACATACTACTTATGTAAGTGCAAATACAATTTTTACTCAATGAGCGCTTTTAGTTAACGATACATAATTATAATGCAAAACATATGCAATATGCTGTATACATGCAATTTGCAGTATACATGCAGTATACGCAGGTAATTTTTAAAATTCTTACCACCAAACCACACGAGAGGACTTTCGGCCCGCCATTAGAGTGTCCCCATGCCGCAAAGGCACTATACATTTATAAATATCTATGCCTTCTCCGGTATTCGAACCTGCACCCTGCGACACGGCAGTCAGAGTCACCAACTACTATCACGGTTGGGCGGTATTTAGCTTATGGAGATGATAATAGAGAAAATAATTTTCGCAAGACTGGTACTGTAAAAGCTTCCATTAGAGAAAGTTGCCGAACTATCAAATAATTGTGCATTTATATCTGACAACTGGAATATTTCCTGTAAATAACTACAAATAAAAATATTATTCACCCTTTCTTCTTTTCAGTTTCTGCAGTATCAAAACGTTACCTTTGTGTATATTTATTTATCGAATAAAAAAAATTACTTTTTGTCCTTTCCCGACTTTTTAATTAATTTTTACAGGTAGTTTTATGTCGCTTTGTATGTAACACAAGACAGAAAACTTTCACAAACATGGCTGACGTATAAAATATTCGGTCAGAAATTATTCAGAGTAAGAAACATTTCCACTTAGCCTTCCAGGATCAGTGTGTTCGGGGCCCACCGATGGCTGAAGGGTAAAACTGCTGAAGACTGGTAATTCAGTCCCAAATCCGGTGAACGAGCTGAATGCATGCACGTTTTTGTGATTTCTCCCAGTTTCCTTTAAAAAGACCTCCACGAAGACATCCCTTACCTTAGGCAGATAGTCCTCTAGTGTTTTGCCGTTATTAAACAGACCCAAAAATTCAACGTGTGAGAATTCAAAATGTTTCTTAAATGAAAGGCATAATACTACAACAAAAATTTAAATCTTGGTAATAATTAGCATATATGCGTGAAAATAGAGGGTAGAAAATATTTTTTTTTTTTTTTTTTTTTTTTTTTTTTTTTACTCTCTTGAATGCCAATTCGGAAGGTTGAAGATATGATTTCAAAAATTAACTTAAAAATTATTCTTGAACTAATCATAATGTAAATAAAAAAGAACCTGAAATAAAGTTAACAGATCCTCTCTGCGTATTCTGACTAACACGAAAAACTATAAGAATTTATTATATACATTATAAAGTGTTAATTATGAATTCATAGAAAATAAGCAATAAAATACAGAGTAGATGTACGTCATGTAAAACGACTGAAGAATGTTTTCAGTGATGCGATTGTCTTATTACAACATAGTCATCATTTGCAATTTCATAGACGAATGATTGGATAAACATCAGCCACAGAAAACTAAAACCTTCAAAATTTACCTTCGGTGTAAAATTTGAAGAATTTCGTCTACCATACATTTTTTGCAGTTTTCAGCAAATAAAAACTGCTCAGTCATCACATATCAGGAGACAATTTTTACTGCTGTATCATTTTACAAGAATATTCTATAAATGCAAGGTCACACGATGTCCTTCAACACTATGTACTTTTGCCAGTGTTGAAGATAAAATAATGTCATACGTGTTAACTTAATTTAAGATTTTTAATATTAGAAAGAAGTGCCCGCTTAAGGGGAAAACTGAAAACTTTTCCCTATTCTTTGTATATATTTTTATTCAAATAATAACTAAAAAAAAAAAAAATCTGTAAGGTTTCAGATTTTAAATTACGTCCAAAGGGGCGTTTTTTTAACATTTTGTGTGTTACATTTATTTATTAAATATCACGTTCTTCGCCCTTAAACCATAAAATTCAGTTCAACAGCAATATCGCAAAATAGTTTTAAAATGAATATAGCTTTCGAATTTCCGATACAGAGACTCACGCACTGGAGATAAAAATGATTTTTCTGTACAACGTTGCTATTGCTCGCTTTGACATCCTTGAGTTTGTAAATAAAAAATTCGTTGAAGTTTTACAAAATATGAAATCGATAATAAAATAAATTCCAAATTTCAAATTTGGGCTTCCACATGCCCATATTCGCGGTAAGATTACGTCATTCAAAATTGGATGTCTCTATGTACCGTCTTTTATCACAATGCAAGAAATAAGCATACATTTATGCAGATTTTTCATTATTTAATTTCTTCAAATATAAAGCAGGACTCTAACATTTGGTGGCAACAGTTTGAAAAGTGAAACGGACGTTTATAGTGAACCAAAGCAAAATCTGAAAACGAAAACCATCATCCTTCAGGGACACAGCCCCTTTGGACTAAAAATGAAAAACGTTAACAAAAATTTAAATTATGTAACCATTAGACATTTCGTTGTTGGAAGACGGTTGCACTAATTATGTTAACACTAAATTGAACAAGTCAAACATCGATCCATTTTCCCGAACATTTCTAACATTCCAATTAAATGTGTTGGCGTTTCCTGATCAATTATTACTAGCTGGAGGGTGGGGACTTAGTTGGGTTTTGCAAATTTAATTTCTATACATGTTGGGCAGCAACCTTTACACATTCTAACTAAAATCGAACATATTCCATTATAACACAGAACAATTCAGGATTAGGAAAGAGAAAATTTCGCTTCCGATTTTATTTATTAAATCATTAGCCCAAAGGAGCGGTAGCTCAGAATGGACTATTAATTTCGTTTTGGCATTTTGCGTAGATTCGCTTTCTGCGTTGATTTCCTTTTTCAAACTGTTGCCGCCAAATATTACATCCTTGTATTATATTTAAAGAAATTAAATAATGAAGAATCTGCATGAATGTATGCACGTTTCTCGCATTGTGAAAAAATGACAGTACCTAGACCTATGAAATTTTATATGAAATTTGGGTACTTTTCCGTTTCGCCAGCGCAAATATCGCCATGCAAACTTTATTGGCGACAACATACAGTATACACACTAAAAAATGTTAAGAAATGTTTGTTCTAAGAATTTTTTATTTTGAAGGCATGGACATTTTAATATCACTTAAAATTTTGTAAAAAGCCAATAAATAAAGACATTGAATTTGTAAAAAGACATTAATTTAAGAATTTACTATACTTTCATGGTTCAACACCCTGATTCGCAGGTTTATATCACGTGACCCTAAGTGATCTCATCTCACGTAAACTAGGCTACAAAAATCTAATTCAGTAATTATCTACATTAATTTCAAGTTATATCCTAATTTGGAGTACAAGTTTAAATACAAAAATTATTTCAATTCTTATGAATAGCTTACTCAGAAATTATGTAAAACCGCAGTGCTTTACTTCGCTAGTGCATTCTCATTAGAATGGATGAATTTAACCCTTGACTCTGCCTTTTCTACATTTTCGCCTTCGGGTGAGCGATGTGACTGCATCCTAATTGATTTAATTACTTCGAATGGCCTTAGAGCATAAAATTGAACTATCTGGTAAAAATTTTATGTAATTGTATGCCAGTATTGAAAGAAACAATCAATCTGATAAGAAATGGTTGCGATTTGTTTTGAAACTGAGGCGTAAAAGGTTACCAGCGAGGATATTCCGTTCGGCATCAGTTTTACCATTATTGGCGACTTTATCGCTTGCGCCGGCAAAACGGAAAAGTACCAAATTTTGAATACTTAATCCTCCATCCGAACTTAAGCACATGGATGCCCGAATTTTAAATTTCGAAGTTGTTTTATTATCTATTTCATATTTTGTAAAGCTTTAACGAATTTTTCAGGGTTTTATTTTTCTTTCTTTCTTTTTTTTACCTGCAGCTATTAGGTAAACCCATGATTCAAAAAGATTAACAATGTATTTCAATTTATCTGCTGTTAAATAGTTTTTATACAGGTTTCTACAAACTGCTCTGCGTTGAGTCACATACCTCAATAAAACCTCCTGCTTTTTAGTTTTTCCCCAAAGTTGTAAATCTTGCTTTATTATTTTGTTTATTGTTGCTACATTAGCATTTAAAGACTTTGCAATTGCTTTCTGCATCGGCGGATTTTCTGCTGCCAACTATTTAACTTTAGAAATATTCCGAAACAGTACATACTTTTTCGGGGATTTGTTTGTAGTCTCATTTCCATGTAAAAATGATGATTGACTTTTTTCCCCCTTTCCGATTTATAATATTGCTTATTTTGAGCTGTGAAATTCTAATACCGTGCATTCCACAATGTTTTTGAATTATGGAATAGGAATATTTGTCTTTGGAAACCTCGAAAGCCTATCCTTCAATCCACAGTTTGCTTACATGCGACATTTTGAAAGAAGAATAAATTTAAAAGCAGGAGAAATATTTCTCATTTCATATAATAAGCTTTAGTCAGTAATTTTTATTTCCAAACAGTTTTTCTTTTTAATTCTTTGTCGAAATCGCTTTAAAAATGTGTAAAGACTATCTGTACTACACGCATTTTTTTTCCATTGTTCTAACTAAAAAGAAAATTGTTTTGAAGAAAAATGCAGTTGAGTCAAATAATCCGATATTTAAGAATCCAGAACACATATGTTTTGTAACGTGCTAAATTATCAAATTTTTGCTGTGTTACTGATATCAAATTGGATTACTTTATGTGAAGATATTCATCATTGACAGTTTATCATTAGATCATCTTTCTAAACGTCCCACCTTTCATCATATCCATGCTCATGGTAAGTACCTTTTGAGAAATTAAAGTTGTCAAAATGGTTAGGATAACAAAATGGCAGTGTACGTGTGCACCATACTACGGATATTTACTAATATTTATCCTATTTTGTATTTTCAGAATTGCAGTGGTAATCTACATATGCGAAATTCGCTGCATCCTTTTTTTTAGGTAGGTGGATGACATGACAAATTATCCAGCCAATCGAAACGCTCTCACTCAAGTTTGATGTCAAGGTAGTATCATAAAAAAAGAATGTGCTTATTCATGTATTTAAAGCCTTTTAACTAAGCGACTTTCCTTATTAGAGTGATATCTGACATTGCACAAACAGCTGCGAGAAAAGTGCGAAAGTAAGTATGCTTCAAAATTCTACGAACTATATTTTTAGTAGAATTTTTGAAAATATTATTGCAATGGTTCTTTCTTATTATAGTTTACATTATTCAAAAAAATCAGATAACTTAAAACAGAACTATTACAGTAAAAATCAAACCGTGGCGAGTAATATATAAATATGAATATCGATATAATTAGAGATGCTTAAGTGTATACTTTGCTTTTGAAAAATCGTAAGACCGTAAAAATGCCTCCTAAAATGCCTCGAAAGATGAAAATATAACATTCTTACTTCAAAATATAATATTTATGCAGTGCTTCGCAGGTTCATGCAGCTGGCTTGATTCCTCCGTAGAACTCATCTTTTGGAATAGATTTTTGAAAGTTGCGTTAATTGCATAGAAAATTATGTCCGAAAAGCAGACGATGTTTCTAAGAAAAGTAGTTTGATATGCCAGAGTAACGAGTGTTGCTGATTAGCGCCAAGAAAGTTTGCTGGACTTCGTTAAAAGAAATTAGTCTGGATTTGTAGAAGCGCTGTGTGTCATTATAGTCATTGTGTTTTGGAGGAAGGATTAAAGATTCCTGAAAATGTTAATTTAAGATATTTATTAGTCAATCGGTTCTTTGATGTTTTGGTATTATATCAAAATACCTGAGAGACTTCTGATGTAGGAGAGATATTTTCATAAAGGAATATTTAATTTTATATTGTAATTCTCTAATGCAAATATACAATTAAAAATCGGATTTTTAATTTCAGTTCTGTTTCAGTATTTCGTGCGTATAAAAATGACTTCGAATAAGGGTACGATTATTAGCGCAGAAAGGGATATTAGTTTCGAAACGGCATTTTACGTTGAATCACTATACACAACGCATCACTTTTCAAGTTTTTGACACCATATTATAGCTCTGTGTCATATTTAAAAATTAAATAAGGAAGTTAATCTGCATGAATGTATGCATGTGTCTTGCATTGTGAAAAAACAACTATCGGAAATTATAAAAGATATGCTGGTTTTAAATATTTTGTGATTTTGCTGTTGAATCGAATTTTATGTGGTGTTAGAGTCAAGAATGTGTTATAATGAGTAAAGTAAATACACAAAACGTTAATAATAAAAAGACAAAAAAAGTTTTGCAAAACCATACCTGCATAAGATTTCGAAATATCATTCCACGAGGCCGACAATCAGGACATTTATACTAGAATGCTACGCTCACGTCACCATCGTATGTTCACTTCGATGTCGTTACGTTCCTCCTATCAATGAAAGTAATATACCGCATTAAGCAAGAATTTTATATTTGTTTTTCACAAAAATAAATATTAATATTTCTACAGAATTTGAATTTTGAAATCACATCACTCATCTTACATTCATGTCGCTGTTGTTGCATACCCGCTATCAATTCTTACTAAAATCGTTCGATGGTGCACTATTCGTTTACTCTTTGGAACAGTGTAGAATTTACAGAACAGTGTAGAAGCCCTAAAGCAACATTTAAGTGCCCTTTTTATCAGTCTTTTGCGAATATTTGGGAAACGTTTAGGAGGCATTTCTCCCGCCTTCCTAGCATGTCTTCATGGTGCGGTGGTCTGCACGCTGGCCGCGTATTCTAGAGGTCCGTGGTTCGATTTGCGACGAAGGCGATACTCATTTTTCATCTTTCCTGCTTTCAATAAATACTTAATGTTTCTACAGTGGTGCCCGAACTAAAAGGGTGGTGGATGATGATTCTCCACACCCAGAATTTGGCGATTGGGTCCCCTAAAGAAAAGCCCAGTCGCCATTTAAAAGGAGGAGTATATAAGGTATTCCTCCAGTCTTCTTAGCGTAACTTCCTGGTGTGGTAATCTGCATACTGGGTGCGTATTCCAGAGGCCCATGATTCGATTCCCGGCGAAGGAGTTGCTAATTTTTCAATCTTTCTTGCTTCCAAAAGAACTTAATGTCTCTACAGTGGCGCCCGAACTAAAAGGATGATGATTCTTCACACACAGGATTTGGCAATTGGGTCCTCTAAAACAAACACCAGTCGCCGTTTAAAAGGGTGTGTATACAAGGTATTTCTCCCGCCTTCCTAGCATGCCTTCGTGGTGTGGTGGTCTGCACGCTGGACGCGTATTCCAGAGGTCTGTGGTTCGATTACCGGTGAAGACGTTGCTCATTTTTCACGACTCCTGCTTCCAAAAAATACCTAATGTCTCTACACGTTGAAGAAATCGGCCTAAATGTATGTTGATTTTTCAAAAGCTCATTTCCGAAAAAAGACATAACTGATAACAAAGTTAGTATCATTTCTTACTAAAATCACCACATGGAAATCGGGCTAGTTTAACACTGCTCTACAGTTTTATTCGAGATTGGTGAAATTTTGCACAATTTACCTTGAACCAAAATAAAAGAAAAATCGCTCTTTATCTGAGATTTTGAAAAATCTACCTCCACTCCCCTAAATGAAGCCTCGTTACTCTGAGTAAAGCCCGGGTAACGCCGGGTACTTCAGCTAGATATAAATATCATGGTCATGTACTTTTGCCAATAGTCTACTGAGACATGCAGTTACAGGTTTCTGGAATTCGTCTTTGCCAGAAAAGTGCTGACGGCTAAAAGACTGGTGATCCTCCACAATAATGGTCGGTCGCATGATGCCATAATCAGTCAACATGTGCTTCAAAAATTTTTGATGACTACACAACGTTCGAGAAAACAGAATTGCTTTTCGCAATGGACAGATGACAGAAGCGTTTGACGAGGATGTGCTAAAACATGTCTTTCAGCATCTTGAATGACTAAACGCTACAGAATGTGGAATAACAACTCATATATAATTCAAAGTATTTTGTTCAGATAATTTGTTTTACTCTTTTTTTACTGTTCATTTTATTAGTCCAAAGGGTCAATTTACCCAGAAGGGCTATTAACTTCGTTTTGGCTTTTTGCGTACGTTTACTATAAAACGGCGATCCACTTTTCAAGTTATTGCCTCCAAATATTACAACCCTGTATTTTATTTAAAGAAGTTAACTAATGGAGAATCTGGATTAATATGTTTCTCGCATTGTGAAAAAACAACGATACCTAGATACCCAATACTTAAATATGATACCCAATCATCATGTATGAAATTGGAGCCTGGGAATCCAGGGCAGGGGAACTGGTTAGGTTACGTATGAAGTTAGACAGTATTCAGAGAGCTTGGGGTTTAGCTTTAACCCAATGTTTGCCTATCGAGACCGTCTTTGTGTTGGGTGGGCTGCCGCCTCTCTCAATTTTATGCGAATTTTATAATGAGAAATTTTTATTTACAACTGGACGAATGGAATTGAAAATGTATGAAGATTATTTTGGTTACAAAGAATGTTTTTTGAAAAATTTAATATTCATTTAATACATTCTTCCAATAGGTTTGTTTTTGTTTTTGATAAAAATAATCCAACTTTTGATGTATTTGACATTTATACAGATGGTTCTGGGGTCGGAGGGAGCGTAGGAGCTGCCTTTGTTGTTTTTTACTATGGAATTGAGGTGGTTTGTAGAATGTTTAAGTTGAATACATATAATTCAGTTTTCCAAGCAAAAAGTGAAGCGTTCAAACAAGCCTTATTATGGATTAAAAATACGAGTACCTTGTTTATACCCACGTCTGTAAATATTTACACTGACTGCCTGCCACTTCTCCATGCACTCTCCCGCCCAAACAATGTCAATCCATTAATTGTCGAAATTAAGAGTCATTTAGAAACTTTGAGTTCATATTTAAATATTAAGCTACATTGAGTTAAAGCCGATATAGGCTTTATCGGTAATGAGAGCGCCGACAGTCTGGCCAAGCAGGCGGTCTCAAATGTCAATGCAATGGATATTGAAGTAACAGGTTCGAAGAAAATTGCTATTCGAAGATTGAAAGAGTTTTACGTTAACAAATGGAAAATACAGTGGTTCTCTTCACCTAAAAACAAAGGATTTATGGAATTAATTAAAATCACGAATAAAATGAAATGTATGAACAATATTGACGTTAATCAGGTTTTTAACTGGACATGGTAGGTTTCCATTCTATTTCAACCGATTTAATCTGCAGGAAAATAAACGATGTAATAGTTGTCAGATTGATGGTGGCATTTTGTGGTTGATTTTAGTCTAACAGCTCTTATTAGACAGATTTTTAACATTACTGATTTGAATGTAAGTGCCATTAATTTTAAAGATTTTGAATCATATACCATTGCTCTAATGAAGTTTATTAATGAAAATAGGGCCCTTGTAGGAATCTTCTGTTAAAATTGAATTCTGTATTTATATGGATTTTTAGATATCTGTGGTGTTCTATGTTGTAAATTTGTGATTATGTTTTTTTTTTTTTTTTTTTTTTTTTTTTTTTTTTTTTTTAAGTTTGTTTGTTTGTTTGTTTGTAATTTTGTGTTAGATGTGCTTACTTATTTTTAGTCCAAAGGGATTTGAGTCCCGAAGGACTATTACTTTCGTTTTGGTATTTGCGTCAAACTCCTATAAATGTCGGTTCATTTTTCGAACTGTTGCCACAAAATGTTAGAGTCTTGCATTATATTTAAAGAAATTAAATAATGAAAAATCTGCATAAATATATGTATATTTCTCGCATTGTGATAAAACAACGGTACATAGAGCTATCGAAATTTAAATGACGTAATCCTCCTACGAATATGGGCATGTGGAAGACCAAATTTGAAATTTGGAATTTATTTTATTATCGATTTCCTATTTTGTAAAACTCTAACGAATTTTTGATTAACAAACTCAAAAATTTCAAAGCGAGCCATGGCAACGTTGTGCAGAAAAAACATTTTTATCTCCAGCGCGTGAGTCTCTATATAAAAAATTCTAAAGATATGCTCATTTTAAAACTATTTTGCGATATTGCTGTTGACTAGCGTCTACATCCCAAAACGGCAGCCTATGAGAGAGGCGATTCTATTACTTTCATCGGGGAGTAGGGGAGTTAGAATGGTTTTCTGAGGAATGCA